TTATTATTATCTCTTAGTTTTTTTTTTAAACTGAAAACTGCTCTGTGTTGATATTTGAGTGAGCCAAACCGGGAAAGGATAGGGGGAGGGGGGGGGGTGGCAGCAGTCATAAATGTGTATGACTGTCATTTATAAAAAATATGACAGTTATCATCTATTGTCTTGCTTTTCTGACAAACATTTTATATTTTGTCAAAAGAAAAAAAATTCACACCTTCAGTTATGACTCCTGTCTCTTCACGCAAATCTTGGAATTCCATTGTTAAATAAACTCAGATCTATTGTTGTTTTGTTAAATCCAGATTTTTTTTTCCGTTAAAGATTGTTGTGTATCCTTTAAAAGACATTGCAGAACCAACCCCAGCATGTTTTGGCCATTTCATTTCAGAAGTTGATGCTAACGCTTCGTAATGCCAGGGTACTGGGTTCGATCCCAGCTGCGGGCCATATGTTTTGTGTTGGTTTCGACAGTGGTATCAGGGGGCCGACCATCCAGAAAGCAATGGCAAACCACTAGACGTAAATTTGCCTAGAGAAACCACACAACAGCCAGGGGCTGCTGGGGTTCTGCAACGTCCTGTAAAAGATACGCAACTAACCTTAGTTTGTCGTTGCTTACTGAATGATCGGCTCCCAATACCACTGTTGAAACCAACACTAAGATGGTCTGTTCGAAATTGCCTTCAACTGCGATCAGACCAAACACTTCAGAATTACAAAGTGAGTTTGCAATGCCTAAGTCACAGACGCCGATTCTTAAATTATAGTCAATGAAAATACAGCATTTCTTATAATTGATGTTGCCATTAATAATTATTATTGATTAATTAAAGTAAACTGAAACTCCAATATTCATCAGTGCTAGTATTCGACCTTTTTTTTTTTTTTTTATTTGTCCTGTTTTCTGCAGACATTTTTGTTTGAAATTCGCCCTAAAGTCAAAATTTGTCTTTCCTCTGACGTGGCCGGCCAGTCCACAGACAGAAAAAATAAAAAGATGATGATAGGCTGGTTCCAAGTGCTGGAATTAAGGAATGGCTGTCCCCTTAAACAAAAGTACAGAGAAATGACAATAAAACATTTCTATAGTTAATTAGCGTATCAATTCATTTGATGATGATGTGTTTTTGGACACTTCAAAAGATTTTTAACAAGCTAAAAAAAAAAACAGAATTGGATAACTTGTTTAGAATAAACCAGTGCTGGTGAATTGTCTAGAAATGCTGGTGAATTGTCTAGAAATGCTGGTGAATTGTCTAGAAATGCTGGTGAATTGTCTAGAAATGCTGGTGAATTGTCTAGAAATGCTGATAAATCATCAGAATACCATCACCAGAAGTGACATGACCTGATGTCACATTGGAAGGTGTCTCACCTTCATAACAAAAGGCGTTTTTTTTCATCCAAAGGAACTTTCTTTTATTCATGTATTGCCTACAATCTATTTATGTTGTTGGGACGAGTAAATCTCTGTTTTTAGTACAATTTTGTTGTTAACAAAAAAGAAAGGCGAAATTCGGCTTTTAGTAATTTCCTTTGGAAAAACTCATTTGATATTTTATATTAAATAATATTCCCCCCCCCCCCCCCCCCCCCCCCCCTTTTCCTCCCTCACAAGGAATAGAGTAATGACAGATATTGGAGTTTCTATACTGTATATTACAATGTCGCATTTGTAAATATAAAGTATCATTTCCCATAAAACACTTACTGTCAAAAAATGTGATACAAAAACCTGTGGTGGCTGTGGTGTCTTGATTTTTTCTGTTTGTAGTCTTTTTTCCTGTGTACTTATTGAATGTTGATCCCATTGTTAGGCACATGTCGTTCTTTGACTGTCCATGGATATTGTTTCATGATTGCTCATTTTACGGCTACTGTATTTACCCACCCAAACTGACTTTTTTAAGAAGTGGCTGGCCAAACAGAAAGAACCCCAGGCACTCAAGCCTGGAGACCTAGGTTCAAATCGTTGGCAAGGTCATGGATTTCTTCTGGCGGGGGCAAAAAGTCAAATCCTAACCAGCACAGTTTGTGGCGACAGCACTGTGTAACCATTGGGTGCCCTTATGTAACTGTTGTATGGTTGAACAGGATTTCGAGGATTTTCTCCTGTTGGATTCTCAGCCGAATAGTGGCTTCTTGAGTCACTGTGTTAATCTTTCAGGCTTCAGTCCTAGAAGAAAAAATATATTAGAAAACAAAATTGTGGCCATATGGTGAATGTTTACCAAAGTTGGCTTTTTGTTGAGAGTTCATCTGATGGCTTTATGCATTAAGGGTTTGAGTTCGATTATGTTATCGTACATTGATTTAAGTTACATTGTTGTATTATAATGTATGCTGCATTTATATGTGAGATTTATATGTGTTACCGAGGTGAAGGAATGGAGGGCACCAAGGAAGTTGTCAGTGTATTTTATTTTTTTAACATCTTGTTTTCTTTAATGTGTGGTTTCTGGTTTCATTGATTATCTGCTTTTGTGTGAATGAAAAATGAAATGGATTGAACATCTGAGTAGGAGGCATGATGCAGCAGATGTCATCCCCTGAGCTCCGATTGGTCTATAAAATACAAATCTAGCCTCATACAATCAATGATTGCAAGACTTTTGAGAATGGCCTTTACAATAGGACTCCAGTTCAGCAAAACTAAAGCATCGCTTCTCGGCCTCTTGCCTAAGATCAGAGTGTGTGGAAAACTAAAGTCAAGAAAAATAATCAGAAAATAGGAAATCCAGTTATCTCAAGTGATGAAGCAGTGGAAAACGTTTAAGAATTAAATACGTTGGATGGGGATTCAGAATAGACTAACTTACAAAAGTCAACAAAATCAACCTCAACCAAGCATCTGATTTGCTTAACAATATATTAATTATTGATATGTTTTTATTCAGCCAAAGGGACTTAGTTTGAAGGCGAAACTCTGATTAAACAAGAGCAAAATTTTAGGAATATTATTCTAGAACAGTGAGTGTTGGGAAATGACAACAGGCATTACACACAAACTAGAGACTTGTTAAAAAAAATGGGGAAAAAGATGTGTTTGTCTAAAGAAAAATCCTGATTCCCTCAAAGTCGGAGTAGATCTGCCCGTGAGGCAGGGAATGGCAAAAGCCATTAAAACGGTTGTACAGGCAAAACTCAGGTCCAGGTAAGAGCCAAAAGTCTAAATGGATGATCTACCGGGTTCTTCCGCCGGAATTCACAGCCGGTGAAGGAAGAAGAAGAATCCTGCAAGTTTTTTAGACTGGGAAGATCACTGATGAAGAACTGAGGAGGAAAACAGAATGTTTATCACTGGCAAATGTTCTCAAGGAAAGAAGCTGAAGATGGCTTGGACATGTTTGCTGAATGCCTCATGGCACTTTGGTAAGTACAGCTCTCTTAGTGGACGGCAGATGGACAAGGGGATGTGGACAACCTAAAGAAACCCAGAGAAATGGAAACGAAGGATGCAGATTGACATTCGATACAATTGGCAGAAAGCAGCAGACGAGAGAGAGAGATCACTTTTGAGTGCCTTTTATATCAATAGTGACATAAAGATAATACAGAAATCATGTGCCTTGTGCACTGCTAGCAAAAGAAATCATTTTTTCCTGACTTTTTTTTTTTTTTTTATCTGGCTAGGATGCCTGTGCTTATCCTGGCATTTAAACCTCATTAGGAAATGACCACGGACCATTTGTGGCAAATAAATGTTCTGACGGTTATACCACAACTGAAGTTTGAACAAGACCAGTTTAGGCATGCGAAGGCAGTGACCACTAGGCCACTTCAATCCATAAGGAAAATAAAAGAAAAGAGACTGAAGATGGTCTGATATGAGTGAAAACGACAGCAAGATTCATATCCTTTAATGGACTTTGCAGAACAACATTAGTATTCACACATGGCATTTCATCTTCATTAGTTTGTCACAGCTTTCTGCAAGCTACGACCCTCATCTTTTTTTTTTTTTTTTTTTCAGTTGCGCATCCTTTACAGGACGTTGCAGAACCAACCCCAGCAATAAATATATATATATATTTTTTGCTGTGGTGGTTTTTCAAGGCAACTTTACGTCCAGTAGTTCGCCATTGCTTTCTGGACGGTCGACTTCTTGATACCACTGTCGAAACCGGCGCAAGGCCCGCAGCTGGGACCAAACCTGGCATTGCGAAGAGCGTTCGCAACGCCTAAGCCACAGATGCCGACAAATTAGTTGCGTATTCTTTACAGGACGTTGCAGAACCAACCCCAGCACTTTCTGGCTGTTTTGGTTTTTCTAGGAAAATTTACGCCCAGTAGTTTGCCAGCGCCTCTGGACGGTCGGCTCTCGGTACCCCAGTCGAAACCATCGCAAGACAACCGTCCGCAGCAGGGATCAAACCCGGCACCCCGATATTACCAAGCGCGTTCGCAACGCCTAACCCACTGACGCCGATTCATATCTTTAGTCAATACAGATCAGACTTCAACTGGCACTGACCACGAAGTTACTACAATTCATGAAGAATTTAAAGACTAAGTATGCTGTAAGAAAGAAGCAAGAAAATGTTTCATATCCTTTAAAGAAGTTACCCTCAACAGTATTTAAAACCCAAGCGGACCATCACAGCCGAGGCGATTGTTTTGCAGACCAGCTGACAGCTAAATAAGATGTTGACAGCTGTAAAATCTGATGTCACAAAATTACAATTGTCAGTTCCTGCAACATGTGCTGCTGCCGAGGTCAGAAAGTTTACACAGCAATGTTGTGCCAAAATCTGGAACTGCTACATTAGGCAGACATGTTTGGTGGATCCCCTGGGCATTTCTGCAGACCACCAGTCTTTCAAAATTCACTGCTTGTTTAGCGCTTCTATGTCCTCTTCTCTCCATGATGTATCTAGTATGCTGACGTCTTTTTCCTACAGGCCTGTGTTGACACAAGCGGTTGCCAGACAGTTAACGTGTCTTCGCTTTTATTGAATTCATCCCATTTAATGTTCATCGCTTTTTACATTAACTCATGCTCAGACAATATTCTCGGAGGATCTGAACTTTTTGTGACTATCACCGTTCTTGTGGTGCCGATCTAACATGGAGACTGACCCTTTCTCAAAGTCCCTTAGGAGTAAAGAGTTAGGGGATCGTGTTTTAGAACTGGATACATCAATAATAATATCAACCTCCGGAAGGATTGCAGTCTCAGACAATGCTGGATCAGCGTTGTGTACTGCGTCAGCTTTATCTCCACCAGCTTGGGTGTCTTCTGCAGCACCATCATCTTCATCGCAGTAAAATTCATCATCTTCTTCTGTGCTGTTCCCCGAGGATGAACTGAGTTGCCGAGGGGGAGTTAACTTTGGGTTGAGTGTGCTTTCTTCCGGCAAGTTAGATAACTCATGCATCTCCCATTCCTTGACGGACACGGGGATGATGTCAAAGACTGGCCAGGACTGGGTGTAGCTGTTAATGGCTTTGTGAAGTTCTGTTTTGAACTGGATGCTAGAGCCATCGATGTGATCTACATCCAAGCTTGATGGGAAAAAGTATCTGGAGAATAAATACAAAAATAACTTAGTATCAGTAGTAGTACATTTTACCCAACTAGGACATTACACACGCGATAAACACCCGATGACACAATGTGCCACCATGTGGGTGAGGATCACCTTGGGGAGATCCCAGAAACCGCGTTCAGCCAATAGACCATATTTATGGCCGAGCTATACTGCGGCCCCTGGCAAGAGCCAAAGTAGGGCTTCATAATAATTTAGTAAATTATACATAAATTATACGCAAGGTGCACACATGCGATTTGTGCACAAAACATCCGACTATAACAATCCCGTCCCAATGTAGGGTGTAATTTTTCGTAATTCCAAGGCCCCACTCCTGCTGAATACGGGGGCCCTAATTTAAACTAATGGTTGAACGGGGTTTTGGGATCCTTATCCGAATGGTGGCACTTTGTGTTGGTCGCGCGTTGTACTGTCCTGGTTGGATTGAATCACATAGATGCACAATATCTGACCTGTGGCAGGTAAAGTTGCGCAACAGACCCTTATTACAATAGCGGTGATATGGCATTTATTACTAACATCACAAGGACAAATATCGCAGCCATGTTGTAAACAGCGCATTTATGTCTTCGGATGAATGCAGAAGATGAAATCTGGTCCATTTCCCAGGTATTTTCAGCTTATAGAACATCTAAATCTTACAAGGAACCATGCTGGGAGTTTATAATGCTTGTTAAACAAAAACGAGTATTGCATTTTGCATCTGGATTTGTGGCCAACAGAAACGTGACTGATCCATGGGCGCCCGCAGGGGGTGGAGGGCACTTGCCCCCCCCCCCCCCCCCCCACCTGGATTTTTAAAACCTCTCAGCCACAGCAATCGACTCCAGATTAACATTAAAACATTACTAAAAATATTTTTCTCCCCCCCCCCCCCCCTTAGAAAATTTTCTGCGGGGCCCATGGACTGATCCACGAAACTTATTGTTAGTCTGTATTTTGTCTAGTTATCTGTTAATGGTGACTGGTTTATTTTCATTAGATTCAACTTGAATATTGCTCCGCCTCTTTCTGTAGGCAGAAGAACAACCCCTTGATGGTTTGTGAGACACTTACAGGTTAAGGGAAAAATCCGACCTAATTAAGCTCACCACCTAGGTAACGCAGGTCCCGTTGTTAGCCCATGATCCTACGGTCGGGGTGTCGAGTACACAATTCGAAGGCGTGGCTGATTTGTGTGTGGGGGAAAAAGGGATGGTGGGTGATCCACAGGCTACTGACTGTTGCTTGTCCCTTCTCAGGAAATAGGCTAGTCGATCTCAGTCCTGCTGGTTGTCGAGCTCTCAGTCTCCATCTTGTAGAATTTTGATTAGTTGTTCATTATTTGGCATTTTCTTTGAACAGCTGCTTATCTAATCGGCTGTATTAATTATCCGGAATATTAAAGTGCACACAGCCCTGAAAGTTTTTCGCCACTCTTCTAGGAGACTTGATGGCTGAGCTACTTCCACGGGATCCTGGGGGAAGGCCATCATTTTCTTTTTTTATATAGCTCAGACTAAAACTAGTTGGGACTGTATAGTCGGAAGTAAACGTCACAACCGTTAAGTCACCTTTGCCGCATCTTTATAACATGCCAGATTTATTTATAATACTCAGACCAGATTTTAAAAAAAAATGAGACAACATACATAGCTTATTACAAGCGGACAACAACCGATCACACATAATACTTGGAACAGAACAGCTTGCTGTGTCACAGAAATACCGAGTGGCTCCACAAACAAATTCAGTATAGGTCTTGTAAGTGTGTCAAGATCAATCAAGAAGAGAGAATCTAATTATTATATAGGGTGTCGTTTACTTGACTTCAAGCATTTGGTTGATAGTGACGATGTTTTTTCGAGTTTGTTCTATACAGTAGGGCTGGATCTTGTTCAAAAAGTGGTTGCCACGCGCACATTTATTGTTTACGTTTGCTTACTTTACTGTTGTTTTCTACTTTTGCATCTTAAATGTTGGTGTTCTGTCTATGTCTTCGTGTTGATATCTTACCTCCAGTAAGATATATATTACGTGTCATGGGTTAGGGTTGTAATGATGTACATATCTGTGCTTATTCATCTATAGTGTAGTTGTAAGTTTATTTGTGTTAGGGTTAGTAATGATGGACATTACTATGCTTTGATATCTTACCTTTGTGGGATAACTGTTGTGTGTCATGGGGTTAGGGTTAGTAATGATGGACATTACTATGCTTTGATATCTTACCTTTGTGGGATAACTGTTGTGTGTCATGGGGTTAGGGTTAGTAATGATGTACATTACTATGCTTTGATATCTTACCTTTGTGGGATAACTGTTGTGTGTCATGGGGTTAGGGTTAGTAATGATGTACATTACTATGCTTTGATATCTTACCTTTGTGGGATAACTGTTGTGTGTCATGGGGTTAGGGTTAGTAATGATGTACATTACTATGCTTTGATATCTTACCTCTATAACTGTTGTGTGTCATAGGGTTAGGGTTAGTAATGATGGACATTACTATGCTTTGATATCTTACCTGTGTGGAATAACTGTTGTGTATCATGGGGTTAGGGTAAGTAATGATGTACATTACTATGCTTTAATAACTTACCTCTATAACTGTTGTGTGTCATGGGGTTAAAGTTAGTAATGATGGACATTACTATGCTTTAATATCTTACCTCTATAACTGTTGTGTGTCATGGAGTTAGAGTCAGTAATGATGGACATTACTATGCTTTGATATCTTACCCCTGTGGGATAACTGTTGTGTGTCATAGGGTTAGAGTTAGTAATGATGGACATTACTATGCTTTAATATCTTACCCCTGTGGGAATAACTGTTGTGTGTCATGGGGTTAGGGTTAGTGGTGACAGACATTACTACGTTTATACTTCTGTAGTGTAGTTTTCAGTTTATTTGTGTAGTAGTACTGAAGTATTGATAATTCAGCTAGTAACAGGTGACGTCCACCTTCTGAACAAGAACCATTAGGCATTTACTGACTGACTGACTTTGTCACCACTCCGGGCCATCAGATTGAGCGATAAACACCAGGTGACACAAACTACCACCATTCGAATAAGGATCACCCGTGGATAGGTCCCAGAAACACCGTTCAACCGTCAGGTTATATTAGGGGGGGGGGTGTTGGGAATAACGAAATATTCATTCCACAAGGGGGACGGTGATTAGAATGTAAAAAATAACGGAAGCCGAGATTATTAAAATGAACAATTCAGCCTTGTGAAAGCATGTGATAATTTTGAAATTGTCTTGATACTGACGTGGCTTATCTTGAAATTTCTAGCCTCGGATATGCGGTGCAAATATACATATTATAATTTGTATTTCTGTAGAAGTGATTCATTTTAAGTTAGGATAACTGTGTTGTAAATTTATTTAAATAAATCTTACCGAAATATGAATGGTACAAAACTGCCCACGACTGTTGCTAGAAGCTGATTGGTTGTTGATATTTGATAGGCATCTCCAAGGGCCATAACCACGACAAACACAAACATCAGAAACATCAGAATTTTGAGAAAGTCCCAGACGGCAGAACAAACGTTTCGGTAGATAGGCCCTGGGCAACCAAAATAGTTCAGTGTAATGGTTTCATAGAAGAATTTTTCAGGTGTTAAAGGTGTGTCCTTTTTATCCAAGAAGACCAGCATTCCAAATGTCTGCCATTGCAGTTGATGATTCTGGGGAATTTAAAGAAAGAAGTGAAAAGTCGATTTTAAAAAAGCAAAATCGATACCTTGTAAAACGAGTCAATACATTTTCAAAAGTTATGTGTATCAGAATCGAAACACACCATTTCTGATAACTTTTGACATACTGATTTAAAATATCGCATTGAAACTCACAAGAAAAAAAAAAAAAAAAAGACTGAATACCTTCCATATGCGCTGTCTGAGACGCATCCTTGGTATATTATGGCGAGACCTTGTCTTCAACGAATGTGTGCTCACAAGAGCAAAAATACCATCAATGTATTGTATGCTGAAGCAAAGACGTCTGCGCTGGCTGGGACATGTCTCCCGCATGGAGGATGGTCGTATTCCAAAAGATCTCCTACATGGTGAATTGGTAACTGGGAATAGACCCACAGGAAGGCCAAAGCTGCGCTATAAAGATGTATGCAAACGTGACCTAATAGATACCAACATAGGCACAGAGACATGGGAAAAATCAGCTGCAGATCGACTACTATGGAGACAGAAAGTGAAAGACGGACTGTCACATTTTGAAAGAAACCGAACACAACGAGCTGTGGAGAGGAGGCACCGGAGAGTAAAACTGCCTCACAACGAGGGAGTATCTGCTTTTGTGTGTATCCTGTGTGGCAAAGACTGCCATTCCCGCATTGGACTTTACAGTCACAGCAGATGCTGTTCCCAAAGCCAACGGCACATCTCCATAGTCCCCCGGGACTGACGGATGCCATTATAATACATATAATGTATAGTTGTTAAATTCTCTGGGATGAACAGCGAGTCTTTCTCCTGCCCCTCCTTCCTGGTACCATGCCTTCTGCTATAATTTTTTCCAATCCGTCGTGGTGCTTGATATGACCAAAATATTTCAGCTTTCTAGAAAGCATGGTGTTTATTAGCCAATCTTCCTTAATGTTCAGATCTTTCAAGATGTCAATATTTCTCATCTTTTTTGTCAAAGATATTCTCAGAATCTTTCTATAGCATTTCAGCTCAAAAGTCCATATTCTCTTTTTTAAGGACTTGGAGATAGTCCAGGACTCACATCCGTATGTTGCTAAAGAGAAGATGCATGCTCTCAAAATTCAAATTTGGATCTCCTTGCTGGTGCTTAACCATAGACTTTTAAGACTGTTTAATTATTTCTTTCTAGTTCTCTGCCAACGATGCTGAGTTTTACTGTACTTGTCAGATTGGTTGTTTCAAAGAACATTGTCCGCCATTGACTTATACTAGCTAAGTTGCTCTTTCCTTGTCATACAACACGCACAGAAACTCTTCACCATAAAGAGGTTTTTAAATGTACAGACCAGCAGATACTTCTTTGTTTATTTTAGTTTCACTCTATCTCGGAAATGTTCAGAAGAGGCGTTTGCAAGCTTCGTTTGTTTTCACCATTGCTTTGTTTGTAAATGAGGGTCGCAACAAGATCTTGAAGGGGTCGACAAGTGCTGGGTTCTCAACGTTCTAAATGCCAGTCTACAATGACTGTCGCACATTCCAATTTCCTCTAATGTAATGGTTACTTGCTGTATGGCTACCCCAGCTCACAGAGAAAGCAACAGTACTTGCTATATCCATCCTGAAGTAGAAGCAAAAGAGCGACCACTTTTAAGATACCGCAAAATGACCACTGAGGATAAAGTAGTTTATGCACTTCAAAGGCTGCTTTCATATGAACTAATATACTATATGCTAATATACTGTTCGTTCGGTTTTATATCTTTTCTGAATATTTCGTAAGAAAAGCGTGACCAGCTGGAATTGACAGTAATACATGAACATTATTCAACAAAACAAATTTTAGAATCGACTTAGTGGGATGAATGAAAAGCCTCGACTATTCCGGTCTGTAACTGATTTTAAGTGCTGCCATTAAACCAGAAGTATTGGGGCACATAGAAAGGTTATCCTCTTTGAAAAGGAATGTAATAGGCTGCTTCTGCGGGTTCCTGTACACACAAATTGTAACATCTTTTTCATGAAGATCTTATTGTTGTAGTCTGGAACCCAAAAAGCCCCGCCTCGTTTGGTAAATTCAGACCTCTCACTAGATCATTCAATTCACTTTGACTGTGTAGTTAAATACCAGGGGTTAGTACTTTATATCAAGAAGATTAAACAAGATGACTTTCTATAAGATCGAGCACCGAAGAAAACTAGCAGATAATCAGTGCCATATCTCAAAAACTGAAATAACTTGGCCACGTTAAACGTGTCAGAAGTTTCGAAATTTTAAACATCAGAGTCAAGAGGGTTGACTTCATGGCATTAAGTTGTTTCCAATATGGCGTAGCCTCTGTCTGCAGTTTTGTTGAGCTAATGACTGACATCATAGAATTCGGGACATTCGCATAAGCGCTCTGTCCTCATCTTAAGCAGCCAACAAAGAATTCCAATTCCGAAGGGCCAGTAGCAGTTTGATTATCGTTTCGACTTTCCTTTTGTCTGAGTGTTGAACGTTGACTAGATCTTCTGGTCAATCCAAACTGTGCCATTCTCTCCAGACCATAGTGATCTATTTGCGCCCCCCCCCCCCCACCCTCCTTTTCCGCATTAGTCACTTGCTGCAAAAGGGCCTTAACCACATCAAGCTTGTCATGCATAAATTCACCCCCTATTGCTGCAGAGCCTGCCAATCTGTCTGCATGTTCATTTCCCAACACCGCTGCATGACCCGGAGAGAATATAAATAATAGCCCAATGACTGTTGAGAACGTTACACGAAACATGAATTTTGTTGAAAATGTGTACCGTTATGTCAGTGAACACTGGGTATTAACAGTATCCTAGGCATGCAATATACTTTTACTTCCCAGACCAATTTCTAGTACCTATTGTTAGGCTGTTTCAATTTAGGAACCATTGTTTTGTGTGTGTGTGTGGGGGGGGGGGTGGGGTGGGTGTGTGTGCGTGCGTGGGTTTATGTGTAAATCTTCTCAATGAGAATTTGAACTTATAACCGACGGCCAACAGGCAAGAGTGCATGTCACAGTTTTATCAAGATTCTCACATTCCTAGAGAATCGCTGACTAGAAACAAAAACAGAACACTAGGTGTTAATTCGTTGACAATTTAGAGAACAACTACACCACCACAAGTACAAACAGAAGACGACGTGATCTGACAAGGTGCTCCCCCTCTGACCTTGACGCGGATCCGCGGAGCAGCATTGACTGGTTTGTTGGATGCTGCCTCCCCTTGCACGATGAAGGCGGTGTTTTCCTGGTCCAAGGCTTCTTGTGTGGCCACGTGAGCGATCTCGTCTTTTATCATCGCCATCAGCTGCCTGTGGATTATCTACAGGTGATACAGTAAAAATAAAGGACCTTTTTGCACGCCTTCAGGTCTATTTGGTATACAGTATTAGACCTAAATTGTATAGACCTATCAACACTCAGTGGGTGATAGGATCAGTATTACACTGGCTGCCTTTATTTCCCATAACTCAACCTGGTAATGATTTTAGGCTATCCTCCGAATAACGGTCCTAAAGTATCGAGGCGGAAAATATACCCTAACAGGGCCAAAGTCACGTGTCAATTGCACAGTTACGTCGTCTTAAATTGCGCACTTTCGGCGACTTGCGCCACCGCCGAGAGTATCCCCCACGCCTCGCGTGGATTGGGGCTAACCTAGATGAGCAGCTACCGCATCTCCTGCAGCTTCCTTCGTTTTATTTGCTCGTGAGTCCTAGCCATCTAGTTTAGCCCCAATCCACGCGGCGTGCGGGATACATTTCGGAGGTGGCGGAAGTCGCCGTAAGTTCGCAAATCGGCGGTGGCCTTATAGTCCCGGAAGTGCGCAATTATAATCATAATTTAGGACCGTTATTCGGAGGATAGCCCGATTTTAGGCGTGGTTGACCTGGGAACCGATACAATTTTTAAAGAAACAAATCCCGCTTGATGGGGATCTGAACCCACGACCTTCAGGCCCGCAGGCCAGTGTTTGTTTAGCTGCTAGGCTGCGGCACGTCCTATAGTTGATGCGCTTTCCTTAGCTGATAAAGTGTATATATTAATCAAGTAAATCTGCACAATTAGAAAGTTTTATGATGAAGAGGAGAAGAGAAAGAAATAAACGGTATCATCATCCCTTTCCAGGGCTCACAGTGTTTCTCCGCCCGGCTTTGCTAGCGTAGTTGGTTAAAGCTGACTTCGCGGCAGTCGTGTGACGAACTCCTTGTAGTTCGAGTTCACGCACGGGGTAGGCAGAAAAGTCACATTTATCCCAGATTTACGGTACCTATAGTGGAATCAAGGCCGAAGGGTTGCGATATCCATAGTACCGAGCCAAAGGGTTAACAATTCATGGTTTCTGGTTTAAAAAAAAAGTATTTCTCCACTTTTTTCCAGCCAACGTAATCTTTTTTGATATAAACGGGATCCAATCCAGCACCTTTTGGCCTTTCTTATCAATGTTCATTCAACGGTTTCTCTTGGGCATTCACGTTTCCCCAATCAGTTTCCCGTTTCAATGCCTGATTAGTGATACTCCAGCGGTTCTCAACCTATGGGTCGCAACCATATTTTGGTTCGAACGACCCTTTCACATGGGTGGCCAAAGACCATCGCAAAACAAATATTCATTGAAGTTATGAAGTAGCGACAAAACTAATTGTTGTTGTTTTTTTGCGTTCACCTGCTATAAACTCTGGTGGAAAGACCTGGTTGTTCGTCCATTTCTGGACTTTGGCTTTGTTCCAGGACCTAAGTTTTATGTGTGCATCTGTTTTACAGATCTGACTTATTTGTATGCAAATTGCTGATTCCTTTTCTCTCAGGGAGATGCACTCCTACTTCAAAAGAATTTCCCAGTTAGTCGACTCTTACGACATGCTTCTTGGGGAGGCAGTGGGTCTATTCTTGTTTTACCCACAATGGGGCCCCGGAACCCACACAGGGGTGAAAGTAATTGTGTGGTTGGGGGTCCCCTTAAAATAAGGAACTGTATTGAAGGCTCGCAGCATTAAACAGGTTTAGAACCACTGCTCTATCTGGTTAAGCTCGGGATGTGCCAAATATATTGTCATTTTCTTTATAAATATAAGGTTAGTTGCGTATCCTTTACAGGGCGTTGCAGAACCAACCCCAGCAGCCCCTGGCTGTTGTGTGGTTTCTCTAGGCAAATTTACGTCCAGTAGTTTGCCATTGCCACTAGACGGTCGGCACCCTGATACCACTGTCGAAACCAACGCAAGGCGCATGGCCTGCAGCTGGGATCGAACCCGGTACCCCGGCATTACGAAGCGTTCGCATCGACTTAGCCACAGAGCCGACACACACATATATATATATATATATATATATATATATATATATATATATATATATATATATATATATATATATTATACACTTGTTGATACAAGTGGCGTCTCTTATTTCTTCACCTCTCTTGATTTTATCCTATTCTATGAAAAGCTGTAGCCTCAGCAATCATTTTAATAGTGCTAAGTGTCGATTACAAAACAATATGTAAAGTGTACGTCTGAGCTTGTAAACTTTTGAACCTAAAGCAACTGGCAAGCTAAATGAAAGAAACACACTGACACAAACGAACGTTTTAACCAGTCTTTGTCAAAAAGGAAGAAATTAAAACAATTATACTTAGCTGAAAATGAAAGAGTTCCTATCGGGAAATATTCCTCCTAAAACCCCGACAAAAACTAAACTAAAGACAAACACAAAAAGCATAGAAATGAAATCTTCTTGGTTTTTTTTTTTGTTTCAAAAGGAAAGGTTAGCTTAGCTTCATGACTGGGAGCCACTGTGGTGTAGCGGCTAGACGCTGGCCTGCCGATCGGAAAGTCGTAGGTTCGGGTCCTTTTTAAAAAAAAAATGACATGGCTCTCAGGTTAAGCCAGCCTTGCGTGGGTACCAGGTACAATTCTGGGAAGTAAAGGCAGTCGGTGTGATACTGACCACATCATCCACCAAGTGCTGTTTGGTCTATAAAATAAAGGTCTAGCCCTATATACCCAATGCGCCTGAAGGAGTGGGAAAAGGTCCTTTACTTTTACTTTAGCTTTATGACAGACCAGTGGTTTCTCTAAGAAAGTAAAGATGAACTTAGGGATTTCGGGAAACAGGATAGCATGGGACGAGTTACACTGAGGAGGAAAACCAGGACGGAAATTGGGATAACAGAAAAAATTATTGCGGATAAAGTAACTTTCTATTTCCTAAGCAACGCACAATGTTTGCTCGACTTATGTCTGTGTGTATCAACGCAACACATAGTGTGCAATTATTTATTACATGTTTGGTTTCGGAATGCAAAATAAATGTGGCCAAATATTGTCAGTGCAGCACAGTATATGTTGAATCTTTGAAAGTCATACATTGATGCCTTTTCACTGTGATCATTGTGCCAGATTGGGTTTCTAAACTGAAACCATCTGGGGCTGAAAGAGTGAAGAGCCGAGAGTGAAAAGGTGGTGAAATACATGGGGCAACAGGGCCTGGAAATCCCACAGTCTATTTGTGAAAGACTCTTCTTAACGCGAGTGGGTCTTGCCAGTCACATTCGCTATAACCATAGGCTGTGATTCCCATACATTCCCCTAGCAGAATATAACACTATCGTCTAGACAGACGGAAAGGTGCCTAGAAAACCAAAAGATTCACTTGCCCTGTGGTATGACTGGTAGAGTCGATACACCCGGGAAAAGGTGTTCTTGCTGTAGATGACCACCATAAGTAGAACAGCCAGGTAGTGGAGAATGACCCCAGCATTCACTACAACTCCCATGAACGTGTAGACGAAAATCTCCACGAAAAAAGACACCACTTCCATCAGCAACAATGTTAGAGACCTGGGCATGAAAAGACGTACAAGGTTATTTCAAGCACTGTAGTGATTTAACTAAATTTTACACACAAGCCACATCGCTTGATGTTCATCATCGGCACTATCATCATCATCATCATCATCATCATCATCATCATCATCATCAATCCTCTCGATGTCTATTGGCACATGAGGCTTCAGAGAGGACTTTCCATGCTTTCCTGTCCTGTGCAATCTTCAGTGCAGTTCAGTTTTCCATGTCAAAGATGCCGCACTCAGGTCACTTTCCATCCTTCGTCTCCATGTTGTTTTTGGGCGCCCTTTCTCTCTCTCTCTCTCTCTCTCTCTCTCTCTCTCTCTCTCTCTCTCTCTCTCTCTCTCTCTCTCTCTCTCTCTCTCTTTCAATTACTTGCACGGTTTTGGCCGTTTCAAACATGGTTCTTACATTCCACAAGCCAATTCTTAATTTGTGTTTGACGTCCAGTAGACTGTTTTCCCATCATGGGCTTCCTTTCGGCTTTCATCCATGTTGTTCAAGCTGACAGAGGGACTCTGTCCCAAGACCACCGGACGTTTAGAGCACTTATTTCCTCTAGAAGTTTCAGTTACGTTGTAGTTTTTTTTTTTTTTTTTTTTAACAGGGCAGAGCTGTCAACACTGCACCCAACCCCCGAGCCTGGAGGACCGGGAAGCCATCTTTAGTCTGGCCCCTCACCAATGACCTGTCCGGCTTGGATGACCCTGCCAGGAACATATGTTCTGGAAAAGCTCACTAAATCACCGAGGCTCTCAAGCTCCCCCACCACTACAAGGTAATTGCCTCTAGGGGGAGATTTGCACTATGCAAAGTAAAGTAAAGGACTCTTTTCCACGCCATTAGGCGTATAGGGCAAATAGGGCTAGACCTATATTTTCAATCAGCACAAGATGGGTGATGTGGTCAGCATCACGCTGGCCGCCTCTACTTTCCGAGACTGCACCGGGTAACCACTCAAGGCTGGGTAGACCTGGGAGCCAAGGTCATTAAAAAAAAAAAGTACGGCTCCGCCAAGGAGCGACCCCACGACTTTTCGATCCGCGGCGAGCGTCTAGCCGCTCCACCACTGGCACTCCCGATTTGCACTATACTCTCGATAATCTGGCAGTTTGACAATAAATCGTTTTCTTCTTCTTCGCATTCACCGAGTGTATACTGCGACGTAAAGTTCTGGTTGTTCGTCCACTTGTGGACTTCAGTTTTTTTTTTCCAGATACACCTGAGACAAGAACAGGTGTGTGACAGGGATGTCTTTTCCCGCCTCTTCTATTTGTACTGGCACTAGATTGGATCATGAAGGCAGCAACTGCTATTGCAAGGAGTGGATACTCAGTGCACTCCTACAAAACAGCTTGAGGATCTAAACCTGGCTGACCGTATTTCCCTTCTGTCCCACTCACGGAATCAGATGCAAGATAAATATGCTTGATACGAGATTATAACAACCAGGTCTCAAAAACAAAGATAATGAAAATAAATCTAGCAAATACTAATGCAGTTTGAACGGTATCCCGCTCCAAAACGTGGAGACGTTCACCTGTCGGGTAGTAATGCAGATACAAATATAATTATAATAGCAACAATCACAAACAGATAGTGATTACAATTGCATCAGTCACAAACATATCGTGATTACAATTGCAACAATCACAAACAGTATTGATTACAACAGCAACAATCACAAACAGTACTGATTACAACAGCAACAATCACAAACAGTATCAATTACAACAGCAACAATCGCTATCAGATAGTGACTACAATAGCAACAATCACAAACATATTGATTACAACAGCAACAATCACAAACAGTATCAATTACAACAGCAACAATCGCTATCAGATAGTGACTACAATAGCAACAATCACAAACATATTGATTACAACAGCAACAATCACAAACAGATAGTGAATACAACTTATTAACGAAAGAAGCTGCCTTTACCAGAACGATATGAGGCACATGATGATGACGACCAGCTGTAGGATAATGCCCTTTGCTGTGTAATAATGTTTGTCGACGACATTTTCATTGGCTGTTACTTCACGAAGTTTCAGCTGTTTCTTTACTGGCGCCAGTTTCTCCGACAGTTCCTGGAACTTGTTGATGACTCTGAAGAAACAGAGCATATGTTTGTGAATAAAATAAACAATATGGCATAGAACATTTGTAGCTCTCTCTCTCCCTCTCTCTCTCTCTCTCTCTCTCTCTCTCTCTCTCTCTCTCTCTCTCTCTCTCTGTGTGTGTGTGTGCGTGTGTGCGTGCGTGCGTGCGTGTGTGTGGGTGGGTGGGTGCGTGCGTGCGTGGGTGGGTGCGTGCGTGCGCGCGTGTGTGTGTGTGTATGCGTGTGTGCGTGCGTGTGCGCGTGTGTGGGTGTGCGTGCTTGTGTGTAACTAGGCCCCTCCCTGTCCCACATAATGGCCTAAATGTCTAGTTTTCAAATTTTCTTTATTTAGCAATAATCGTGTACGTGTTTAACAAAACAACATATAATAATATTAATTATTTTTATTATTACTATTATTTTTATAATTATTTTAAAATAATAATAATACAAAGAAGAAGAAGGAGAAGAAAAAAAATTGCCAAAATCAGGTTATGAGACAATTAACAACGCTTCTGACACATAAAAAGATACCTCTGTCAACCAAAGCTAATCTCATAAGAACGGTTTTTTGGCTGACATTGTGCTACCAGTGACAAACATTGACCCTTATTACAACTAATGAGCGGAAGATCGTAACAACAGAGATGAAATGTCTTAGGAGAGCTGCAGGTGTGACAAGAAAAGATAAAATCAACAATGAAGACACTTGAATAAGACTAGGACTGGAACCAGTCATACAAATAGTTAAAGAACAACAAATGAGATGGTTTGATCACCTGCTGAGAATGCCCTGGTACCAACTTCCACAGAGAGCCACGCTAAGGAAACATAATTAACACAAAGCAAGGGGAAGACCACGCAAGATATAGACCGACATCATCAAGAGCAACCTAGCAGAAATGAACACCAACTTGCACAATGCATTAACAAAATGCACAAACAATCCTTACGTCTCCCCCCAACACCTTGCTGAGGTAAATGGTGGAAGAGAAGAAGTAAAAGAAGAAGAAGAAGAAGAAGAAAGATTGCTGGTACTCACGAGAGCGTCTAAAAAGGTACCAGTACTCACAACAAAGTGTCTGTTTCAGTAGCTTTAAAAAAATAAAATTGTTAAAAACAAGGTGCCAGTACTGCTAACCGTCAGAGGAGCGGCTGGCCGAATGGTTAAGAACGCAGGGCTTTGAATCTTCGGTAAAGTGAGGGAAGTTTTTGTGTAGGGGGGCAAATATAAAATCCTTACCCATACAGTCCGTGGCAGCAGCACTAGTCGTACGCCGCTTAGATGCTCAGACTCAAAGACCCCTCTAATAATAATAATAATAATAATAAAATATGATATATCTTTTTCTAGCGTGTTCATCCGAAGATGTAATTGATTTGTGATAATAATAATAATGATAATAATGATAATCATGATAATAATAATCATGATAATAATAATAATAAAAATAATGTATATGATGAAAAAAATAAAAATGACGATACTGATAATAATAATAAAAAAATATGATTTATCTTCTTTTTGCGTGTTCATCCGAAGATGTAATTGATTTGTGCCTGTTCACAGTATGGTTGCAATATCTGCGCTTTTCGACAAAGCACATCCGACTTCTTTGTTGCCTAGATGGGTCTTTCCCGTTAGTTTACCACCGATTTGTTTCTGATTTTGCTGCTGTGCGGTCTACTGCATTCGGCGGTTGGCACATTGTGTTGCGGTTTACAGCTGGGATGCAATGTATGTGCCTTTCTGTCCAACACACCTGAGTTCAGAAACTCCAACAAGTTACTTTTAACGACATGATTGGGGGGTCTGTTCCCTAACAAACTTTTAACGACATGGTTGGGGTCTGTTCCCTAACAAACTTTTAACGACATGGTTGGGGTCTGTTCCCTAACAAACGTTAACGACATGGTTGGGGGTCTGTTCCCTAACAAACGTTAACGACATGGTTGGGGGTCTGTTTCCTAACAAACTTAAACTCTGTTTCCCTTCCCCAACCCCCTCAGTGGGACCCGGAATCCACACGAGGGTACTGTTAGTCAACATTAATCATACAAACACCAATAAAGACGTTCATCAAAAGACAGAAAAGACACTTACCCCTGTGGACACACAATCCACACGAGGGTACTGTTAGTCAACATTAATCATACAAACACCAATAAAGACGTTCATCAAAAGACAGAAAAGACACTTACCCCTGTGGACACAGGAACGCGAACAAATGGATCAAGAGACGAAAGCTGAAGTTGAGTGTCGGGAAAATGTAGAAGGCTACAAACGGAAGACTGATCACCAGGACAATGGCGAAGTAGGGCAAGAAGAACACCAGTCCAACGATCCCAAAAAATCGGAACGGCATCACAGTCAGTTTGACGATCCAGGCCAAAATTGTGACTCTGTGATAAAGTGGGAGGGGAAAAAAAACTGATTTTGTTTCGAAGCAAATATTGACTGCGTGACGTAGAACACAAAATGTTAGCCTTCTGATTTAGAATACAATTATTTTGTGATTTAGAAAAATGTAATACTGATTCTGTAATTAAGAAAACAAAAGACTGATTTTGGTTACTATGGAAACAAAATATGAATTATATCATTTATCACCGAGGATGCCAGAAATGCATTTTGCTTTTTAGAAAGCAAAAAATATGTTTGAATACAGCGCATTTATAATAATTACTGCACGGATTTAAAGGTTAGATCTTCATATTGTGCGCCACAGACTAACGAAAGGAGGTCAACATGTTCTTTCTTCCTTGACTTCCTTCCTATGCCATTTTATAGTGTCCATTTTACGATCCTGGGTTTACCTTCCTAGAACATTTAGTGTTGTTAAGTTGATCCAGAACCCTATTGGTTAGTAAAAAAAATACAATGCGACTTGCCAGGACTCAACAACTGCACTGTTCTGGTAGACAAGAAGTTCATCTAACCACTTAACTACAGCAACTCTCTCCAGGTGTGCGGACACCTGGAGGTTTTGGTACCTTGAATCCCTTCCACATACAAAAAAGGGGAAAAAAAAGGGGGGGGGGGGTAAATCGCCTTAGAAAAGTTGTAAATTGAAGATCGACTACAATCAGGCACCTGAAGATCGACTCGAATGAGGCCCCAACACTCTCTTCTACATTACATTCTCTTTTTAAATACGGGCTCTCAAAGTGGAATTCTGGAAGGTGGGAGTTTTAAGCCCAAACAGCTTTCCCAGCCAAAGTGAGATTTTTAAGGGGTGGTCGCTCTGTACCATAGGTCGCGTTCGTTAAACATGTCAAGGCTCAAAGATATGGTATTCTAATGTACCCAATCATGGAAAGAACTTATGTGACCTCCTCCTCCTCCTTCTCTTCCTCCTCCTCCTTCATCTTCTTCTTTTTCTTCGTCCTCTTCTTCTCTGGTCCTTTTAGCCTCCCAGCGTCAGGTGAAGAGGGATCGAGTACGCGCCATGGTATGAGCTACTTAGATGCTGGTATTTACGGTTTCGGATATTCCACCTCTCCGTAGTTTGTGTACTCAATCTCTAGTTTTGCTTCCATTATATCTGACAGAACTTTCTGTGGTACCTGCTCTCGTCATAGCCTTGACAAATGTCCAAACCATTTTATCTGTTACCTCTTGATGAGTTTTAGTACTGGTGTCATTCCTTCTGTCTTGGTATTGTCATTTCTGATTCTGTGTCACTTAAATTTAGAATTCGTCATCAAAATTCACATGTAGACATTTCAATTCTATTGTTTTGATATTTCGTTTTCCTTTCATCATTAATGTTCCACGTCTGGCACTGGTAACGCAACGTTACCATCTGTGACTAAACGAGTTAATTAACTAAGTAGGCACTGTGAGTTACTAGGTCAGGAAAATTACCAGACCGTGACTGACCTTGATCTCTCTTTCATGTCTCTCAGGCATTGCCTGGTGACGCATTTCAACTTCTCCTTCATACCGCTGCTGAGGACCCCGTAGAAGATGGAGTCGATGGTAAAGATGATGTAGATGACAAGAAAGAGCCCGTGTATGGGCGTTAGATGGACCACAACGCTTGGCGGAAGATGCACTTCAAGGTCCAACTCTCGTGCGACCCGTTTCTGTGGAAATTTAAAAAAGGAACACCAACATCTAGATAGGGCTTAGTTTATGTTTCAAAGAAACAAAGTTTATCATATTATGGTAAATTTGTTGGGGCTTTGAACTACTGATGCTGCCACCTCTGCCACAACCGCAGCCAGTTCTTCTGCTGCGGCTGCTTCTTCTTCTTCCTTGTCTTCTTATTCTTCTTCTTCTTATTTTTCTTCTTCTTCTTCTTCTTCTTCTTCT